TATGTACACACACATCCTGTTGGTTCAGTTTCTCTGGAGAACCTACCTAATACAATCAGTATGCAAGCCAAAACTGTACCTGAAGGGTAACTTTTAATTTTTACAAAGTTCATATATTTCTGGATTTTTATCTCCTTCTATATTCACTATACTCTTTGCCTGCCTGTAGATATATCAATTTTTAAAAATGAAGATCCGTGACAAGACACTATGGAGGATGAATAGGCTCGCTCTCTCTCTATTATTCTCAGTATTAAAAAAAGAAACCCTGAATTTTGCATTCCATACCATGTTTTGAAGGAATATTGATGTTATCTGATAGAATCCTCATCATTCATCATTGTGAAGATGATTTTTTTTTCAGGAAGCAAGATTAGTAGCTTTAATAAATGTTTAAAATAAAAGAACTCTAAGATTGGTTTTGGTAAAATGAGCGTTAAAAAAATTGAATCACTATGCCCAAAACTGAGTCCAAAGCTAAGCAAGCAAGCAGATATATTGGCAAGAGTTCAGCCAAGTTAGAAGACTGGCAAATCACCCTTATGAAAAAAAAGTTAAACATCTTGAAAAGCAAATAAAGGCTTGAGGTACATCTGAGTAGCAGCTATCAAATTTTAAAAAGGGTTATTGTAGAAGAGATGGAGACCAGCTGTTTTCCAACTCTGCTGAGCTCAGATAAGAACAAAACTGGATAAAAACTGCAATATGACAGATCATTTAGATCTAGGGAAGTATTTCCTGGAAGTTAACGTAGTTGGAATGGTTATTTAGGATGTTCTGGAATACATTCAAGGGATTCTTTAAAGCTGATTAGGTTTACCTTTTCAGGATGTGAAACAAAGTGGAAACTACAGATTTAGGTTCCCCAGTTGAGTAATCAGCAGAATCACTAGGGTTAGATGGGGTGAGGAGACTTCAAAAAAACACAGACTTCATTTCTATGAAGTGATAGACGTAGCTTCCAGGATATATAGTTGAGAATAAAAGCAAGGTGCAAAAGAGAATACAGCATGTTACCTTTGGTATAAGTCTAAAAGGGAAAAAGGAACACGTATGTATGCTTATTTGCTTTTTGTCCTCTTCAAAAAGGAAACAGAAACAGCAAACCGGAAACTAATAAAATTAGTTACCTATTGGGGATGGGTGGAAGATGGGAATGGGATTTCTCTTTGTATACTTTTTGTTTTAGTTTCCTATTGCTGATAGAATAAATTCCCATAAATGTAGATCCTTACAACAACACAAATTTACTATTTTACAGTTCTGGAGGTCATAAGTCCAATATGGGTCTCATTGGGCTAAATTAAGGTGTCAACTGGGCTGCATTCCTTCTGAAAGTTCTAGAGGATAATTCATCTCCTTCCTTTCTCTAGCTTCAAGAGGCTGCCTGCATTCCTTGGCTCATGGTCCTTTTCTCCAACTTCAAAGCCAGCAGCACCACATTTTCAAATCTCTTTGAATCTGACCCTTCTGCCTCCTGCTTTCACTGTTTAGGACCCTTGTGATTACATTCAGGTCCATAAAATAATAGAGAATATTCTTGTTATCTTAAGGTCAACTGATTAGCACTCTTAATTCTTCTTTATTCTCTAACATATTCACAGCTTCTGGCAATTAAGATGTGGACATCTTTTGCCAGGACAGTGGCGGAGGAGGCATCATTCTGCCTACCACATCTTTAAAAAATAATCTTAACTTTTGAATGATGTAAATTTTTATATATTTGAAAATAAAATGGAATCAAAAATGGGTAATAAAAGCAAACTCTGAAATTGAATATAAATAGAAACAAATGAGCCTAACTCTATATTAAATGGTAACATAACTATATGGAGGAGAAAATAAAGAATTTATTCCAGGCCAGGCACAGTGGCTCATGCCTGTAATCCCAGCACTTTGGGAGGCCGAGGCCGAGGCAGGCGGATCACTAGGTCAGGAGATCGAGACTGTCCTGGCTAACACAGTGAAACCCCCTCTCTACTAAAAATACAAAATATTAGCTGGGTGTGGTGGCAGGTGCCTGTAGTCACAACTACTCAGGAGGCTGAGGCAGGAGAATGGCGTGAACCTGGGAGGCAAAGCTTGCAGTAAGCTGAGACTGTGCCACTGTACTCCAGCCTACAAGTACACCCTTAAAATGAGACATATTTTAAGGACTAAAATAATTACATAGAAATCTTAATTTGTACTCAGCAAATTTGTTGTTGGTAATAGTTGTAATGTAGTCACCTTGAAACTATTTTGAGTATATTTTAGGGAAGTATAAATGAGTAAATGTGTTAATGTTGTGGGGAGCCAGGATAATCACTGTGGAAGAAGGGAGATAAAATATGGAGTGCAGAAGGTGAGGGAGAACCTTGTGGTATTGGATTTTTTATATGTATTCCCTGAAATGGCATAGAATATTGATACCCTAGGAGCACTGAGCACACCTAGTACCAAATCTTGGTTTCTAAATAGCATTCCTTGCTAAAAGAAACCAAGGCACTTTAAAGAAATGTCTGATCTCAGGTGGAACAGGTATAAGATAAAAGGTAAGCCTGTAACAACTAGTAGTGTCAAAAAGTAAGGTAGTGCTAAAATACAGATGGAGATGTCTCCAAAGGACACATAGAGCTCCCACTGGCCAAACTTAAGACATTTGAGCATCAAACAGATAAATAAAAAGTAGTCACAGATTTTGACTTAAAAATGGACTTGTTGATATTACAGTAGAGGCAGGGTGAGAGGGAAAGCACTTTTTTTAGAGAACAATGCCAACTAATAAATGCAAAAGACAGAATACATTTGGAAAATCATTGTTTTTGTAATCCCTAATGTAATAAGTGATTCAGCAGGGTCATCAATGAATGTTAAAACAATTAGATGAAATATAGCTGGCATATAGGATATTTACATTATTATAAAATATATCACAGAGTTATTCCATTACAGAAGGAAAAAGATTTGTTTGTGATGGAGAAATCTAGTCAATATTGCCTTAAGTGATCAAACTTGGCTTCATAACAATGAGATGCACCAACATTTTGTGCCTCCTGATTTGATGGAACTTACTCTAGTCATGAGGGAAAAAAATCAAGCAATTCCAGATATAGGACATTTTACAAGGCAACTTGCCGGGACTCCAGATTAAAATAAATTAAATGTAAATCGAAGCAAAGCAATGAGCAGCAAATGCAATCTGTGACCCTTGATTAGACCTTGAGTTTTTTAAATAATGGCTATGAAAGACATCACTAGAACAATCGGAAAATTTTGAATATGGACTCTGTAATAAGTAATATTGTATCTACATTAAATATCTTGTGTATAATAATGCTATTATGTTCATATATGAAATGGTCTTAGTTCTCAGGAGATATATGATAAAGTATTCAGGGATAAATTTAGTATGATGTCAACAACTGTCAAACAGTTTAGAAGAAGTAGCTGTGTACATGTAACATATATGTACACACACATAAAATGAGGAAGAAATGAATGCAGCAAAATGTAAACACTTACTTTTGATGGAACTGTTTTTTGTGCCACACTTTCAAATTTTTTGTAGGTCTGATTTTCAAAATAACAAGTAGAAGAAAAAACCCTTTATTGAGCCCAAGGGCTTCTTGCTACCCTTCGTGCTTATTTAGTTTGTATTTCAAGTTGTTGTTAAAAGATTTTTCTTCTTCTTCTTCTTTGTAAACAATGTGTTTCTGATTATCTTTTTGGAAACCTTCCCTGACATCCAGCTCTGTCTTTGAGTCCCTAGACGATGTGATTTTTTTGAATATGTACGATAGCAAATAGAAGAGATTTCTTGAATTCATGTAATAGCAAATAGAAGAGCTTCAGTGAAAAGAATGTTTTATGTTAATCTCTGTGGAAGTCCAGTTTATAGGTAAAACATTTGAAAATGGTAAATAAAGTGGACGTATAGTATTACTTTATAACTGGCACTCAGTAAATATGTGCTAAATATGAGTGTATTTTGTAAGCTTCTAAATACCATTAAAATATCATGCGATAATAACTATAACAACAATTTTTTTAAAAGCACAGATTTCCAGGCCCTCCTTCAGACCTGTTGAAGGGCAATCTCTGAAGATAAGACCCTGATCTTCCTTTTAAACAAGTTTGCTCTGTTCTTCTGTTCGCTGAAATTGATGTCTTTAAGAAGATATAAGATGTTTAAGGGCTTCCTTCCTGTCTTTGGGCTCAGCCTTAAGTCCTCCCCCTCACCTCTTCCATCCTCGCCAATCTCTGCTCGCCTCTGCTAATGGGGATTCTTTACCATCTGCCATGATCTGTATACTTTATTATTTTTCCTCACTACCCATCCCACCTTGTTTGCTTTCTCTTGGTTTTCCACCTCTCTCCATGAGTACTAGATCCGTGTTACTCAGTGTACTCTCCATGGAGACAGCCCACCCAGTCTCACACCTAACTCCTGCTGCTCATCTAGTAGGTGGGACAATGTTTTTTACAAAATATGTATATTTTTTAGGGCTCTGTGATTTTTCCATAAAGAAAGTCTCTCGGGGATACCAGTAACTCTGTGGGAAATTCTGAGAACATACACCAGATTTATGCTTCCTGGGTCTATGCAATCAGGCTCTTGAGGATAATGGTTAAGATGGTGGACTCTGGTGTCAAACTGCTTGGTTCTAAAGACAGACTAACCACTTGGTAGCTATATGACTTTTGGCAAATTTTTTAACCTCTTTGAGCTTTGCTTTCTCGTCTGTAAAAGGGAAATATTAACAGAACCTACCTCAAATGGTTTTTGTGAGGATTAAAGGAGTTTCCATGTAATAGCACCTAGGAAAATGCTATATAAGTGCTTACTGTTTTTTTCTTTGTATTTCAATGGCTACAAAAGGTGTTTACTTTTTTTTAAAATTCATCTTCAGCTTTCCATTGAATGTTAAACCTGGATTAAATTCTGCTTTCAATATATTAATAACTATTTTTATAAAATGATTTCTTTCTTGCTTTCTTTGTGTTTCTCATGAATTCAGGTTTCCCTAGGACTTCTGCATGCCCATGCCACACATATCCTGTGGCCCCCAGAGCGCTGGCAGAAATTAGAATCTGTTCTTCCTCCAGAGCGCTTACCAGTACAGAGAGAAGAGGAATGACTGCGTGAATCTACCTGAGTTGCTGGCATTGGGATGCAAACCAATGCCTCCGAAAGGGAAAAACTTCCAACAATATGATGCTGTGTGAGAAAAATTTACAGCACATTAAGACGATCTGTATTATTAAATAAATAATTTTCAAACGTTAAATAGTATTAAATGGCACCTGATTTTGTGTTAAATTTTAGTTCCCTATTGTTTAATGCCCCCAAAATATGTAGATCTTTGAGAATATAAAAATACTGTACCCACATGTCTTAATGGGGCTAAATTTCAGATTATTTGTTACATATACTTATTCTATTGATTGTTGGGTTTTGATTTTGGTGCTTGCTGCTGAAATAAATTGAAAATTAATATTCAATAAAAATGATGTATTTGCCACTTACTGTTAAGGTAGAACAAGAAGGAACACATATTATACATATAATGATGGGAATTATATTGTGATTTGTAGTATCTACACAGTAGTAACTGCCAGTTAGGAAGAACAGTAAACAGTGATGTTAAAATAAAACAATGATTTGTCAGGTCCTGTCTTGAGTGTTTAATTCTCATTGAGCACATCCATTAATGAGGAATTTCTTACCTGTTCTGAAAATAAGGAATTAAAGTAATGGAGAACCCATTCTATTGATACTTGCATACAGTCAAGCCTTTCTTATTGGCCCTCTTTAATCCTACATTTCTGAGTGATATCATGCCTGTTCACAGTGATGGGTAAACCCATTTATCAGCATTTAGTCATACTATTTGTTTAAAAGTTCTGAGTGAAATAGAAGAAAAGACAGTCCAGATCAGCCAAGTTTGATTTTCTTCCCCTAATTATTTCTCAGTATTCACGTCTGTAATACTGAAATCACCAATTGCAAAGTTATAGTAGAATAATAGAGTCTGTAATTTGTATGGATAAGGGAGTAAATTCCCTGCATCTAAGTCTGTGTTTATGAAAGCTTCTTTTTCATCATAGCATCATCATATTCAACAAATATTGATGAGCACTTATATACTAATGTTGGTCAGAATTTTTTTCTAAAGCAGATCACTTAACATTTTTCTCTGGCTCTTCATTGCCCTTCTCAATTCTTCAGTTCAATTTTCTCTTCCCCAACTTGAACTTCGTACCCTGGCTTTTAACTGCAGTTGACCAAATACTGCTATTTCAAAGCTTGTAATTTTTTTTTTTCTTTCTTGGCAAAGTGCCTCCCTTGGAATTATTTGTAAAATGTTTAGTGCATAAAGGTATTGACCCTTTACTTGCTGGAACACAGGAAGGTCTAAGGGTCATATAAGAGAGGATTGGGAGTACTGAGGGGAGGTAGAGTAAAGAACAAATACGTGCTGGTAGTGGCTGCTATTTACCACTGGTATAGAAGAGTTCAATATTTTAACAGTTTAGCCCATTGGCTATCAGCCTTGCTACCTTATTGACTACCCGTGCCATTGTTACTCGAACTATTCATTCAAGATTGTAAATCTTTGGAGGGAAGATAAATGCTCTTCCTATTCAATTTTCTATTCACTAGCCATCCAGCACATCACCAGCAGAGTTAATGCCTAATGCTTGTTGAACAGCTCAGCTGACTAGTTACTTCTTCAGGAATACAACCCCAGGCAGAGTCACTGCTCTACCTGACATATACGTTCATTAATGTGTCACTGTGCATGTTAATGATTTGTGTACATATTTTCTCCCCTACTAGACTGTGAGCTAGTAGTCTATTCTAGAGCAGAGTTTATCTTGCTCAACTTGGTCATACGATTGTTCATAATTAACAATAAAATTCTGTCTAATCAATGTATGAATCCTAGGCACTGTGTTAAGGACAGGAAAATCAAGGTAGATAAAACATAGGTTCTCATAGTCTACTGGTGGGGGAAGGAGGAACTGTAAAGAGGCAAACAGTTAACATACAATTCAGCAGCAGGTATAGAGCATGGAATAGGTGCAATGTGAGCAGAAAGGGCTGTAAATCTGATTGTGTCTGGGGAAATAGAGATGGGGGAAACCATCACAGAAGGGGTGCCATAGGCTGAGCCTTCTAAGATGAATGGAGTTCCCCTCCTGTGAATTATAAATTTAATCTGTATAAATGATTTCAGTCACTTAAATAGTTTCCTCTCAAACATTACTGCCAGTTTACTGCTCAGGGTGTAGTGTGTATATTGTGTTTTATACATTTAGTTTGTAAAATGTGAAATAATGATTGTACCTCAGGAAGATTGAGATTTGTAATTTTTTTTTTCACTTTACAAAAGTCATTTCAAACAATTTTACCAAGTAATTTATAAAAATGTGTTGTATATCAGAGGTTCCAAGATGGCCGAATAGGAACAGTTCCATTCTACAGCTCCCAGCATGAGCAATGCAGAAGATGAGTGATTTCTGCATTTCCAGCTGAGGGTACCAGATTCATCTCACTGGGGCTTGTCGGACAGTGGGTGCAGCCAACAGAGCAGGGCAGGGCATCGCCTCACCTGGGAAGCACAAGGGGTCAGGAATTCCCTTTCCTAGCCAAGGGAAGCTGTGACAGATGGTACCTGGAAAATCGGGATACTCCCACCCTAATACTGCACTTTTCCAAGGGTCTTAGCAAATGGCACACCAGGAGATTATATCCTGTGCCTGACTTAGAAGGTCCCACGCCCACAGAGCCTCACTCACTACTAGCACAGCAGTCTGAGATCGAACTGCAAGGTGGCAGCAAGGCTGGGGGAGGGGCATCCACCATTGCTGAGGCTTGAATAGGTAAACAAAGTGGCTGGGAAGCTTGAACTGGGTAGAACCCACCGCAGCTCAAGGAGGCCAGCCTGCCTCTGTAGACTCCACCTCTGGGGTCAGGGCATAGCTGAACAAAAGGCAACAGAAACTTCTCCAAACTTAAACGTCCCTGTCTGACAGCTTTGAAGAGAGTTGTGGTTCTCCCAGCATGGAGTTTGAGATCTGAGATTGGACAGAATGCCTCCTCAAGTGGGTCCCTGACCCCTGAGTAGCTTAAGTGGGAGACACATCCCAGTAGAGGCCAACTGACACCTCATACAGCCGGGTGCCCCTCTGAGATGAAGCTTCCAGAGGAAGGATCAGGCAGCAACATTTGCCGTTCTGCAATATTTGCTGTTCTGCAGCCTCCACTGGTGATACCCAGGCAAACAGGGTCTGGGGTGAACCTCCAGCAAACTCCAACAGACCTGCAACTGAGGGTCCTGACTGTTAGAAGGAAAACTAACAAACAGAAAGGACATCCACACCAAAACCCCATTGGTATGTCACCATCATCAAAGACCAAAGGTAGATAAAACCACAAAGATGGGGAGAAACCAGAGCAGAAAAGCTGAAAATTCTAAAACTCAGAGTGCCTCTTCTCCTCCAAAGGAATGCAGCTCCTCGCCAGCAACAGAACAAAGCTGGATGGAGAATGACTTTGATGAGTTGAGAGAAGAAGGCTTCAGACAATTGGTAATAACAAACTTCTCTGAGCTAAAAGAGGATGTTCAAACCCATCGCAAAGAAGCTAAAAACCTTGAAAAAAGATTAGACAAATGGCTAACTAGAATAAACAGTGTGGAGAAGACCTTAAATGACCTGATGGAGCTGAAAACCATGGCACAAGAACTACATGATGCATGCACAAGCTTCAGTAGCCGATTTGATCAAGTGGAACAAAGGATATCAGTGATTAAAGATTAAATGAATGAAATGAAGTGAGAAGAGAAGTTTAGAGGAAAAAAAGTAAGAAGAAATGAACAAAGCCTCCAAGAAATATGGGACTATGTGAAAAGACCAAATCTGTGTCTGATTAGTGGACCTGAAAGTGATGGGGAAAATGGAACCAAGTTGGAAAACACTCTGCAGGATATTATCCAGGAGAACTTCCCCAACATAGCAAGGCAGGCCAACATTCAAATTCAGGAATGCCACAAATACAGAGAACTCCTCAAGAATAGCAACTCCAAGACACATAATTGTCAGATTCACCAAAGTTGAAATGAAGGAAAAAATGTTAAGGGCAGCCAGAGAGAAAAATTGGGTTACCCACAAAGGGAAGCCCATCAGACCCACAGTGGATCTCTCGGAAGAAACTCTACAACCCAGAAGAGAGTGGGGGCCGATATTCAACATTCTTAAAGGAAAGAATTTTCAACACAGAATTTCATATCCAGCCAAACTAAGCTTCATAAGTGAAGGAGAAATAAAATCCTTTACAGACAAACAAATGCTGAGAGATTTTGTCACCACCAGGCCTGACATATAAGAGCTCCTGAAGGAAGCACTAAACATAGAAAAGAACAACCGGTCCCAGCCACTGCAAAAACATGCCAAATTGTAAAGACCATCAAGGCTAGGAAGAAACTGCATCAACTAACAAACAAAATAACCAGCTAATATCATAATGAGAGGATCAAATTCACACAGAACAACCTTAAATGTAAATGGGCTAAATGCTCCAATAAAAGACACAGACTGGCAAATTGGATAAAGAATCAAGACCCATCAGTGTGCTGTATTCAGGAGACCCATCTCATGTGCACTGATACACATAGGCTCAAAATAAAGGGATGGAGAAAGATCCACCAAGCAAATGGAAAACAAACAAACAAACAAAAAGTGGGGGTTGCAATCCTAGTCTCTGATAAAACAGACTTTAAACCAACAAAGATCAAAAGAGACAAAGAAGACCATTACATAATGGTAAAGGGATCAATTCAACAAAAAGAGCTAACTATGCTAAATATATATGCACCCAATACAGGAGCACCCAGATTCATAAAGCAAGCCCTTAGAGACCTACAAAGCAACTTAGACTCCCACACAATAATAATGGGAGACTTTAACACCCCACTGTCAACATTAGACAGATCAA